TGTGATGGGTCCAGACTGGCATGGGCCCTGGTTTCCAGCAGGTGCATCCCAAGTGTCAGAGCCGTTTGAAGCACAGCAATGCCATCTTGAATGGGAGCTGGGTAAAATACGGCTGAGACCCACTGGGCTGCATTCCCTGACGGTTAAGGCGTTCTAAGTCACAGGATAAGTCAGGAAATCACCACAAGATACAGGACATAAAGACCTTGCTGAGGCCGGGCTCGGTGGCTCAAGCCTTTAATCCCAGCACTTTTGGAGGTCCAGGCGGGTGGATCACGAGGTCAAGAGATCGAGACCATCCTGGTCAACATGGTGAAACCCTGTCTCTACTAAAAATACAAAAAAATTAGCTGGGCATGGTGGCACGTGCCTGTAATCCCAGCTACTCAGGAGGCTGAGGCAGGAGAATTGCCTGAACCCAGGAGGTGGAGGTTGCGGTGAGCCGAGATCGTGCCATTGCACTCCAGCCTGGGTAACAAGAGCGAAACTCCGTCTCAAAAAAAAAAGACCTTGCTGATAAAACATGTTGCAGTAAAGAAGCCAGTTAAAACCCACCAAAACCAAGATGGTGATGAGACTGGCCTCTGATCGTCCTCACTGCTACACTCCTAACAGCACCATGACAGTTTACAAATGCCATGGCAACGTCAGGAAGTGACCCTCTGTGGTCTAAAAAGGAGAGCCATGAATAATCCACCCCTTGTTTGGCATATAATCAAGAAATAACCATAACAACGGGCAACCAGCAGCCCTCGGGGCTGCTCTGCCTATGGAATAGACTTTCTCTTATTCCTCTACTTTCCTCATAAATTTGCTTTCACTTTACAGATTTGCCCTCAATTCTCTCAAGTGAGATCCAAGAACCCTCTCTTTCAGACCCCTTTCCTGTTACACAAATGTTTGGGGTGAACAAATGAGTAAGGAGAGCTCTGAGGTGCTCCAGTTCTGCTCTGTCACGAATTCATCAACAAACATGGAACTAGGCTACTGTGCACCAGACGGTTTCTGGGAGATGCTTTAGTGAACAAGATTATCATAGAGCTTCTGTTCCAATGGGAGACAAGAGACTCAACAGGATATATAATGTCAGGTAGAGACAGTGTTGCCAAGAGAGGAAAACAGGTGAGGGGATGGGGAAGGGCGCAGTAATTAACTGGGTGTTAATGACCTTGGACAAGACTCTAGGCTTTAGTCCTCCATATCCTTGATTATAAAGGAGAGTGTTCAGCTCCAGCATTCCAGGTAAAAATTAGGTGAAGTACAAAGACTCTTAAATCAGCAGAGTCCTAGATGTACACCTTGAGCAAGTTACTTTAACTCTCTGAGCCGCTATTTACATATACAAAGTGGAGATTCTAACACCCTCCTCAAAGGGTTCTCGAAAGCACACTGTGCCCACGGTCTGCTAATGCTCCACACACAGTACCTATAGTAATGACGATGCTTTTTAATGGGAGAGATTCAGGAATGCATAGCTCAGGGCTTGGCGTGAAAGCAAGGCTGTGAGTTCATCAAGAGGAATCTTGATGGGCAGCACCTCTCAGAACTGTCAGGGGCAAGCCCACACTCCATGTGTTGTGATAAAGACAGCTCCACACCCCACTCTACCCTGGGAACACAGCTCTGACCAGACCGGCTGCTCCCACATTTGCACCCCACCCTGCCTCCCTGCCCCAGCCCTGCCCCACCCCTGCCCCCAGCCTTGTCAAGTCCTGTGGGTCAGCCCCACTGCCAACACAGGGCCGGCTTTCTAAACTGGGGTCACAAGTTTTTCTGGTTTTAGTCTCCTTATCCCTGAAACAAGCCCTTTGGAGCTAAGATTCCCCAGTAGGCTTCTCTGATGGACCCAGAATGTGGATGAGAAATCAGCCTCAAGGCTGGAAACCTTATGTTTCAAGAGGGCAGTTCTTTTAGCCACATAGAGCTCACCCTGCTGCAGTGACCTACTCAGGCTCCTTAGTGTGACGATCCAATGATAGGACTCATCAACTATCACTTCTCAGTCTTTGGCTCGGATCATGCAGAGGAACCACCAATCAATGTGCATTGAGTGCAGAGGCTGACTTACCAGGAGCTGATGAAGCTCAGGTGTCAGGGTACTCACGTGCACAGACCCCCTTGCAAGACAGGGCCTGATTTCCCATTAGGGTGGGCATGAGAAAGCCTCAAGCCTTCTCAGGGATAAAGAGTGTTGCCTGCCTGAGGGAGTCACTCTCTAGCCTTAGTGCCTGTCCAGGGCTGCAGGCTGAGCTGGGGGGCTGCACACCTGGTAGGTCCCAGGAACAACCTGTCCCATGTGAATGCTGTTGAGCACCTGGGCCCCTTCTCCTTTGGCCCCAAGGAGAAGGAGATGAACTACACACTGCTCCCCCAGTTCCCTGGTCAGGGGTCACTAGGATCCAGGTCTCACAGACACCTCATGTTCCATCCGAGACCCAGGTCCGGCTCCCTCACTGTGCCTAGCAAGGATCCAGGGCTGAGTTTTCTCATGATCTGGCTGGAGCCACCTGAGAAACTGTCAAAAGACTTACAGATGTGGCATCGTCAATAATAAGTGGGGAAGCTAAAAGAAACTCCCCTAAACTCTCAGTAATAAAAAGCGCCCACTGATTAACCATGCCACAGGCAAAACTGATTCTCTTTCGTTTGTTTTTTAATTGGAAGTGATACTAGAAAACTGTTGTCAGATAACATGGCAATCAAACAACGTGTAGCCAAAACATGACAGGGGCATCAGGCAGTTAAGTAATACTAATCATTTTTGTATTATTTTTACATCATTTTATTATGTCGTCGTTTTCTGGATTTTGTTATATTTGGAGTATTTGTCAGTCTTTGTTATTTGTTATGATGTCTCTTCTCATATTCCAGATATTTACTTATTTACTTCCATTTATAACATTGTATTTGCAACTTTGCATTCTTTTTCTTTTCTTTTCTTTTTTTTTTATGAGACAGAGTTTCGCTCTTGTTACCCAGGCTGGAGTGCAATGGCGCGATCTCGGCTCACCGCGACCTCCGCCTCCTGGGTTCAGGCAATTCTCCTGCCTCAGCCTCCTGAGTAGCTGGGATTACAGGCACACGCCACCATGCCCAGCTAATTTTTTGTATTTTTAGTAGAGACGGGGTTTCACCATGTTGACCAGGAGGGTCTCGATCTCTCGACCTCGTAATCCACCCGCCTCGGCCTCCCATAGTGCTGGGATTACAAGCTTGAGCCACCGCGCCCGGCCGCATTCTTTTTCTTAAAGAGTGCTCCCCAGATGGAATCAGCTTCAAGCCCTGCAATGCCTGGATTTTCCACAGTCGAGCCAGGCTAGGCCAGGCCCCGGGCTAAACCCCTTTTCAGAAGTCTCTTAGTTAAGCCTCATGACAACCCTGTGAAGTTACTCTATTATTATCCTCATTTTACAGATATAAAAACAGAGGCTCAGAGGCTGGGCAAGGTGGCTCACACCTGTAATCCCAGCACTTTGGGAGGCCAAGGCGGGCGGATCACGAGGTCAGGAGATTGAGACCATTCTGGCCAACATGGTGAAACCCCATCTCTATTAAAAATACAGAAAAAAGCCGGGCGCGGTGGCTCAAGCCTGTAATCCCAGCACTTTGGGAGGCCGAGGCGGGTGGATCACAAGGTCAAGAGATCGAGACCATCCTGGTCAACATGGTGAAACCCTGTCTCTACTAAAAATACAAAAAATTAGCTGGGCATGGTGGCGCATGCCTGTAATCCCAGCTACTCAGGAGGCTGAGGCAGGAGAATTGCCTGAACCCAGGAGGCGGAGGTTGCGGTGAGCCGAGATGGCACCATTGCACTCCAGCCTGGGTAACAAGAGCAAAAACTCCGTCTCAAAAAAAAAAAAAAAAAAAAAAAAAAATACAGAAAAAATTAGCTAGGTATGGTGGCGTGTGCCTATAATCCCAGCTACTCGGGAGGCTGAGGCAGGAGAATCACTTGAACCAGGGAGTCGGAGGTTGCAGTGAGCCGAGAATGTGCTACTGCACTCCAGCCTGGTGACAGAGGAAGACTCCGTCTCAAAAACAAACAAACAAACAAAAAAACCGGAGGCTCAGAAAGGTGAAGTAACCTGCCCAGTGTCACACAGCATAAAGTGGTGGATTTAAGCTTCAAATCCAGGGAGGTTGCAGTGAGCCAAGATCACACCACTGCACTCCAGCCTGGGCAACAAAAGCGAGACTCTATCTCAAATAAATACATAAACAATAAACTGCAGAACCCCCTGCCTCCCAGCCCCAGCCCTTAGCACAGGGATGGTGCTGGGCCGAAGGAGGGAGAATGCTGCCTTATCCGAAAACCTCAGTGAGCTGCTGGGTCTTACAAGGCGAGGCTCCCATGATGCAATTCACAAGGAAGCGGGGGAAGTGCGTGGAAGTTTGTCTCCAGTTATGTTTTTCATTATAAGGGTCAGAGTAAACAGACACAGGAAAATAAGAAGCAGGTCTGAGACTAAATACACGGCCCACTATCGCTCCAGCCATCTCAAACGGAACAACCTGTTCTCTGAAGTACATCTCATAGTGCTTTCTCTCAAATCCCCTTTGGGAGATCTAAAGGCTGGATCCAGCCAGCTTTTCCACGCTGCCTGGTCTAGAAATCACTGTGCAAGGATTTTCCCCAGAGAACCAAAGTAAGATAAATGAAAGGTGCTACACAATCCTGAGCGGGCTCTGCCTCCATCCATAACTTCACCCCTGGCCCCCAAGTCTCACCCCCCGCCCTTGTACTAACACCCTAAATCCTGCAGGAAAAACTCCAAGCTGCTGGCGGCTGCAACCCTGTGAGGTCCTGGCAGGCAGAGCAAGATAAAGCTGAACTTACAGTGTAAGTCCCTGAGCCAGCATCCTGCTTCCAGATCCACTGCTGGAGAGAGAAGGACTTTGTCCTTTTCCAAAACTACTGAGGGGAACAGAGAGCGTTTAGGGGGATCCACCCATGACCCCAGCATGGCAGAAGCAAATCATTTCACCATCTCACATACCTCATCGTCTGCTGCTTTCACGCCAAAGTAAAAGGCACAACAACAAAGTTCTTTTGAGCTCGCTTCTGCAGGAGAAGGCAGGACTCAGAGGAAGGGAAGGTGCTGGTTTCAACTCCTGTCAAAAGAACAAACAGCTGTTTCAAAAGTTGGGGAGTAGACAGTGTCCTCAGTGGCCAGGGGCTTTGTTCCTTGCAGGCCTTGGGAAATGGGCTGTTTATCAGGCCTGTTGACTCAGAGCTGCGTGCCAAGGCAGAAATGTTCCTCTCTGGATCTATGAGCAGCCCAGCCTCTCTGCCAAGCAAAACCATGGTCCAAACTGGGCCTACTATGGGAGGAGGAAAAGCCACGACCCACCCTTGAGAGGGACACCCAGAGGGCTCACATCACAATGCTGGATAAAAACGGGAACCATTCTGGACCCAAACAACCTCAAGTGACTGCTCCTAGGACCAGCCAGTGGGGAAGTTAACACACACACATACACACACACACACACACACACACACACCCAGAGGGGAATGGATAAAAGGCTATTTTGAGAGTCCTCAAGACTCATGGAAATTCCATCTAAATGTTCCTCAAAGTTAAGTCCTTCCTCTACATCCTTTAGGCTTCGGAAGTCCCTGTTTGATTTGAACATTGCATTTTTATAGAATGTTACGGGATGTCCCACATCACAAACCACACTACAAGAATTTTAAAAGGTCACCGAGGCTCAACTCTGCTCTTTAGTTGAATAATGCTTAACCCTTCCCACACCCACCTCCTGCTTCCAAAACAGAATCTTCCAGCTGGAAGGGACCTATGGGCAGTGGATTTTCAAATGTTGAAACAGCTAAAACTTTTTCAAAAAGCAAATAAAATCATTTTCAGAACCCCCATGACCTGAAACAGAACACACGGAGCCCTTTGGCTGAAGCAGGGAAATGACGCTCAAATCTCCTTCCTCATCCTCTCACATGGCTGAGACACCTCCGGGGAGTAGAGTCTGGAAACCCCAGACTAAAGACAGGGGACCAAAGCCAAAGCCAGACAGGAAGGAGTCAAGGACTGCCCTCCACCCCCCGCATCGCTCAGCAGCGTCTAATCCAGCCTCTTCCTCCCGTTCCCCAGAAGGAAATTTCACAGCTTCTGCCTCTTAAGGGCATGAGTTAGTTGGCCACAACCTTTAGGGTCCAGAAGTTCTTCCTAACACCTTGCTTAAATTCTTCCTGTGGGTATCTGTTTAAGCCAAGCAGGTGCACACCTTCCAATCCTGTCGTTCTGCTCCCAGCTCCACACCCAAGAGAATGTGTGTGGATGTTCACCAAGACACATGCATTAAAATATTCATAGCACGGCCGGGCGCGGTGGCTCAAGCCTGTAATCCCAGCACTTTGGGAGGCCAAGGCGGGTGGATCACAAGGTCGAGAGATCGAGACCATCCTGGTCAACATGGTGAAACCCCGTCTCTACTAAAAATACAAAAAACTAGCTGGGCATGGTGGCGCGTGCCTGTAATCCCAGCTACTCAGGAGGCTGAGGCAGGAGAATTGCCTGAGCCCAGGAGGCGGAGGTTGCATTGAGCCGAGATCGCGCCATTGCACTCCAGCCTGGGTAACAAGAGCGAAACTCCGTCTCAAAAAAAAAAAAAAAAAGAATATTCATCATAGCACACCCCAAACTGGATGCTCCCCAAGGCCTATCATTAGAACAGATAAGTTGTCACCTTGTCCCACAATGGAATTCTACCTAGAGCAATGAGAATGAGCGAGCTACAGCTACTTGTGTCAACAAGGAAAATCTCACACACACAGTGTCAAGTGAAAGAAACCCGGCTTAAAGGTACCCACTGGATGATTCCATTTATTTGAAGTTCAAAAATAGGCAAAACTGGCAGAGCGTGGTGGCTCATGCCTGTAATCCCAGCACTTTGGGATGCCGAGGCAGGTGGATTGCTTGAGGTCAGCAGTTCGACAAGGCTGACAAATACGGTGAAAGCCTATCTCTACTAAACATACAAAAATTAGCTGGTATGGTGGCACATGCCTGTACTCCCAGCTACTCAGGAGGCTGACAGGAGAAATGCTTGAACGCAGGAGGTGGAGCTGCAGTGAGCCGATATTGCACCACTGCGCTCCAGCCTGGGAGACAGAGTGAGACGCCATCTCAAAACAAACAACAACAACAAAAAATAGGCAAAATTAACTTGCGGTAGTAGAACTCAGGATGGTGACTCCTTAGAGGTGGTGCCGACTGGGAAGGGCCCAGGGTAGTTACAGGGGCTGTTCATGTGCTGTTTCAGGTAGTGGTGATGACACACGTGTCCACTTTGTGAAAACGCATCATAAATGTGCCTGTTTTGTATCAACATTAAGAATAAAAAGTAGGCCGGGCGCGGTGGCTCAAGCCTGTAATCCCAGCACTTTGGGAGGCCGAGGTGGGTGGATCACGAGATCAAGAGATTGAGACCATTCTGGTTAACATGGTGAAACCCCGTCTCTACTAAATACACAAAAAATTAGCTGGGCATGGTGGCACGTGCCTGTAATCCCAGCTACTCAGGAGGCTGAGGCAGGAGAATTGCCTGAACCCAGGAGGTGGAGGTTGCGGTGAGCCGAGATCGCGCCATTGCACTCCAGCCCGGGTAACAAGAGCGAAACTCCGTCTCAAAAAAAATAAAATAAAATAAAAAGTAACAGAAATCTTCCTGCTGAAGCTGCGCTCTCTTGGGCTCTGTCTTTCCCTGTTAGGGCCACTGGCCCATGGATGGGCCCTGCCTTTTCTTTCACTTGGGTTCCCCTCCCCAATCTCAGGCACCACAAACACCTCAGGAGGGGCTCAGGGACAATCTGTTGTGTTAAAACCACCTAGGAGGCTGGGCATGGTGGCTCACTCCTGTAATCCCAGCACTTTGGGAGGCTGAGGTGGGAGGATCACTTGAGCCCAGGAGATGGAGACCAGCCTAGGCAATACAGTGACATCCCATCTCCACAAAAAATTTAAAAATGAGCTGGGCATAGTGCCATGTGCCTGTAGTCCCAGCTACTCAGGAGACTGAGGTGAGAGGATCGCTTGAGCCCAGGAGGCAGAGGTTGCAGGGAGCCAATATCGAACCACCGCACTCCAGCCTGGGAGACATTATGAAACCCTGTCTCAAAACAAAAATTTTTTTAATTGGCTGGGCACAGTAGCTCATGCCTGTCATCCCAGCACTTTGAGAGGCTGAGGCAGGTGATCACTTGTAGTCAGGAGTTTGAGATCAGCCTGACCAACATGGTGAAACCCATCTCTACTAAAAATACAAAAATTAGGTGGGCATGGTACTGCATGGCTATAATCCTAGCTACTCAGGAGGCTGAGGCAGGAGAATCGCTTGAACCTGGGAGGCAAAGGTTGTAGTGAGCCAGGATGGTGCCATTATATTCCAGCCTGGAAAACAGAGTGAAGACTCCATCACAAAAAAAAAAAAAAAAAAAAAAAATTATCCAGGTGTGGGAGTGGGCGCCTATAATTCCAGCTACTCAGGAGGATTGCTTGAACCTGGGAAGTGGAGGATGCAGTGATCCGAGACTGTGTCACTGCACTCCAGCCTCGGCAATAGAGCAAAACTTCATCTCAAAATAATAAATTTTTAAAAAATACAAAAAATAGCCGGGTGTGGTGGCATATGTCTATAGCCCCAGTTATTTGGGAGGCTGAGGAAGGAGAATCACTTGAACCTGGAGGGCAGAAGTTGCAGTGAGCCTCCAGCCCAGGCAGCAGAGACTCCATCTCAAAAAAATGAAAATAAAAATAATTTAAAAAGCCATCCATAGATGTATGGTCAGTGGGGAAGGGAAGGAAAACTGATTTTGAAACCTAGAGAGCTAGGATGAGATAAACCGGTCCTCCTGATGGGCAAGCCCTGATCCCGTGTCTCACACGCCTCCCACTTTACAGTTTACAGAGCAGCCTCTCTTTTATCTCAATGGATCCTCACAATTACCTGTGAGGTGGTAGAACAGGGTCCTTCACTACTTTCAAAGTTCAACATAGAGAGGCTCTGAGAGTCTCAGTGACTCATTCGAGGTCACCAGCTGGGACCTCTCCTCGTTGGGGTCAGTGCTGTTCATCCTATCCAGGTGCCTCCAGAAACACTACTGATCAGATAAGGCTCCTGACTGGTCAGCCACAGCTTGGCAGAGAGCGTGCAAACCTGGAAGACAGACAACTCAACTTCTAGAAAATTCAAACACAACCTTCCACCTGCCCTGACACACTTTCATCCTCAGACTCTCAAAACAAAGGAACACACACTTATGGTCATTCCATAATCGAAAGGCAGGGAACCATAGCAAATGAGCCTCGAGCTGCAGTCCTGCTGATTGATCAAAGCTGTACAGAGGCTACCCAGGTAAGAGGCTGGCACTGTGCCCAGCCCTGAGTTGACTAATCTCATCATTACAGGCCGAGCAGCCCATGGATCTATCAGATAGCAGCCAGCATTCAGTATCTGTCCGTCTTCCACATCCTGAGTCGGATAATTATAGGGCCTCCGTATTGTAGAGGCAGCTGCAGCGCACTTATAAACAGCCCTGGCTTCATGTCCCAGGTCACTTCCTGCTGGGAAACTTAAATTCCTGTTGGGAATTAAAGGTCACGATCCACACCTGCTTACCTCTGTGGAGGTGTGAGGATTAAGTGCTCTTGGCAAAGAATGTTACAGACACAAAGGTTGCAAGTTGTCACTATTCATTTAATCCTAAACATGTTTAGAGCGGTCAAAAAAGTTGTACTTGCCAATGCTTGCAAGTAATAGAGCAATTTGGTTGGTTTCCTGATCTGTGTAAAGGGGATAATCATAATCCCCACCTCTCGGGGTCGTTGAGGGGCTGCAGAATGTGGTGGTTCTGAGCATAGATTTGGGCCCAGCTGCCTGGATATGAGTCCTGGTTCTGCCCCTTATGCTCTGCAATTCTGGCTCTGACTTCTCTGCCTCCATTTCTACATCTGTAAAATGGGAGTCAAAGCACTTGGAGGGCAGCTGGCACACGGTAAATGTTATATACATGAAACTGATTACTGCAAGAATCAAAGGGGATATTCCTTCAAAAGTATCAGCAGTGTCTCAAGTTGTTGAATAATTGTTAGTAT